TAAAAATTGGTTTAAATCAATATTTAATTATTTACTAAGTCACATTGAAGCGTATATTATTATTCTATAAGCTAGTGGTACGGGTGTCCTAGAGCATGAGTGACCTCTTACCATCAGGATCGCGGATCGCTTGGAACCTCTGGGTCTACGGAGGGACTTCAGTTCTCTCTATGTTTTATACCGCATGGTCCATGGGGAATGCTCTGAGGAATTATTCGAGATGATCCCCTCATCTCCTTTTTATCATCGCACCTCCCGCCATCGGAGCAGGGTTCATCCATATTATCTGGAACCGCTGCGTTCATCGACAGTGCGTTTCCAAAGATCTTTTTTGCCACGTACCATCCCGCTTTGGAATGAGCTCCCCTCCACGGTGTTTCCCGAGCGCTATGACATGTCCTTCTTCAAACGAGGCTTGCGGAGAGTACTTTATGGTAGGCAGCGGCTTGGCTCTGCCCCTGGCATTGCTGACGTCCATGAGCGACGGTGACCACTTACCATCAGGTGGGTCGTATGCTCGTCTGCCTACAAAGGCAATAAATGAAAAAAAAAGACGGGTGGTCTGCTTGGACCGCTACATTCAAAGGAAGTAAACCAAAACCTTGGACAAATGCCTAGACTTCTTTTTCCAATCAGTCGCTTATGCAATCAATTCAACGTACCTAGGCGGCACTGAAAATTTCGGGAATTAACGAAGTGACATAACAATACTATTTAAAAATGTATTTATTGCTTTTCGAAGTATTCTCCGCGAAATTTGACACATTTTTCCATACGATGGAACCAATCATTGAAGCAACCATTCCATTCGGAAGTTGGGGTCTCCAAAATGGCCGTTTTGTAGGCGCTTCACAGCTTCTTCAGGTGATGAAAATCTCTGTCCACGCAATTTATTCTTTATTTTAGGGAAAGTATAGAAATCATTAGGGCTTAGGTCGGGGCTGTACGGCGGATGGTCTAATAATTATATGTTTTCTTGCTCTAAAAACTCTTTTGTTCTGTGCGCGGTGTGAGAACTCGCATTGTCGTGATGGAGGATGATGCGGCGGTTGCAGTTCNATTCTTTATTTTAGGGAAAGTATAGAAATCATTAGGGCTTAGGTCGGGGCTGTACGGCGGATGGTCTAATAATTATATGTTTTCTTGCTCTAAAAACTCTTTTGTTCTGTGCGCGGTGTGAGAACTCGCATTGTCGTGATGGAGGATGATGCGGCGGTTGCAGTTCTCTTTACGGAGTTCAGAAACGACCTGTGGCAAACAAATGCTAGCATACCATTCTGTATTAACCGTTCTTTGCCCCTCAAGAGGAATAGTCGTAACATGGCCGGTTTTGGAGACAAACGTGGCCACCATTTTTTTTGCAACACTCCGTGAACGAACAATTTTTGTTGGCTTCAACTCATTTTGGAACACCCAAACTCGTGACTGGTTTTTTGTTTCGGGTTCGTACGCGTATATCCAAGATTCGTCACCTGATACAATGTTGTATACAGCATTTGAGGATTCTGCGTGGAATCTTTCGAGAGTTCTGACGCACCAAGTAACGCGAGCCGCTTTTTGCTCTTCACAGAGCGAATGCGGTATCCATCGGGAAAACAACTTTTTTACACCTAATTGTTCATGCAAGGTTATTTGTATTTGACTCATGCCAATGTCTAAAGTTGTCTGAATTCCGCGGTATGTCACATGTCGATCTTCCTCAATCAGCTTACGCACAGCATCAACGTTTTCTTGGGTGACTGCAGTTTTTGGACGACCTTGACGGGGATCATCACTGAGCTTGACACGTCCACGTTGAAACTCAGCAAACCAGCGATAAATTGTGGTTTTGGATGGGGCTTCATCACCAAATGCAGAAATCATACGGTCAACACACTGTTTTTGTGTTAAACCACTTCGAAAGTCATAATAAATCATCGCTCTTGAATTTTCTCGAGTCAATTCCATTTTCTCAACGACTAAACAAGTTTGACAAAACCTCGTGACAAGACCGAGAATCTTTTTTTAAATAAATAAATGGTATTCGATTTTTAAAACCAAGGAGTTTTCAATAAAAAAAAAATTTATATGACAGGAACAGTGGAAATATTCCATTCCCGATACTTTTAGTGCAGCCCTCGTATAAGTGAGCAATATTGGAAGTCAAATTATTATGTAACACGTCATAATGAATTCACATGTCTAACAAGATCTCACCGTGGCTCATCTGTGGGATTATAATTAGAAATGAAATGTATGTAAATGCGACAAGAAATATATTCTTTAGAAAGTTCGAGAAAAGCTGATTATTTCAGTACAACGTCATAACGACGCTTCGATAATTACCTACACGCAAATTTTCAATCTATAACACTTTCTCACAATCAATGAGCCGCATAAATGTATGAGCCAATGGCGACATTGTTGATTTTATATTGTATTCGCGCCAGTATGTAGTGGGGCGTGTTTTCAACGCGCACTGGTCAGAGCCTTGACTGAGTCCAACGTTCAAACGGTAACCATAAATTTATTATAATAGTGGATAATCGCTGGTAGGTATTTTTTTCGAACGAAGTTCCTTATGGGACGATGCGGAGGGGTACCTTAACTGGGAAAAAAGGTCCGTAACGTAAGATTTTATGTTTGTTACCTCATAACTTTGGACTAGGTGTATCGATTTTGATGATTCTTTTTTTTATTAGAAAACTGACGCTTTCCGTGTGGTCTAATTTCAATTTAGTCAAGTTCTAATAATGGTATCCATGAGAAAACTATATAAGCCTTAATTTGCATTAAATACGTGCGCGACAAATAGATAAATAACTCAATAACTCAACATCACGCCAACCGATTTCGATGATTATTGTTTTTAGTGTATATTAATTTGTTTTGTTAATAGAACTTAAAATTAATATTTTTATAATAAGGAACTTCGTTCCTATCCGGTGTTCCACGACACTACACATGTTTTTTATTGCTTAGATGGGTGGACGAGCTCACAGCTTACCTGGTGTTATGTTGTTAATAGAGTCCATAGACATTTACAACGTAAATGCGCCACTCACCTTGAGATATAAGTTCTAAGATCTCAGTATAGTTACAACGGGTGCCCCGCCCTTCAAACCGAAACGCATTACTACTTCACGGCAGAAATAGGCAGGGCGGTGGTACCTACCCGTGTGGACTTACAAGAGGTCCTACCACCATATACATATTCTTCTTCAAATAAGTTTTGAAGAGAGTCCTTAGCTGTGGGCAGTGGCTCGGCTGTGCCCTTAATATTGCTCGTGTCCGTGAGCCTCAACTGCCCTGCCGATGCAATAGCTATCTTAGCTGGTGTGGTAGGACCCACCAGTAAAGGTAGTCGTATTTTTAGGAACAACCTCGTTCGAAGTAGTTCATCAAAGTTCAAAGTAGGCAGTGGCTTGGCTCTGCTCCTGGCATTGCTGAAGGCCATGGGCGACGGTAACCACTTACCATCGGTGGGCCGTACGATCGTCCGCCTACAAAGGCAATAAAAAAAAAGTTGGCATCTTCGTCCGTATCACACGTCCTTATTTCATCTTAAACGGTTTCGTGAAATAGAAAAGTAATTGAGCTCGATAAATTGAAACGGTTAAATTCTGATGGCGCACGTGCAGTGGAGTGCGGTGCGGTAACATCGACAACACAAGTGTTTTCAGATAGTACAAGATATTTTATTAAAACACTAGCTACCCGCCCTCGCTTCGCTTTGGAAACTGTAATTTATTATTGATTTGTCCACTACTTAATGGATGTTATTATACATATTTTATAAACCTTCCTCTTCAATCACTCGATCTATAAAAACCGCATCAAAATCCGTTGCGTAGTTTTAAAGATTTAAGTATACATAGGGATATAGGGACAGAGAAAGCGACTTTGCTTTATACTATGTAGTGATTCGGACTGACTTTACATAAACAATGAGAAAAGAACAAAAAGTATTGTTTTTAACGTTTACCTCAGGTTTTGACGGGCTTGTAAACTTTACGGAACTGTACGTACAGGAATCATTGAGTGAAGTAAGTTGATCATCATGAGTTAAGTAACAAGACAATAGAATATTACTACGTGAGCGGGAAGATGGAAAATATGCGACTATTCTTTTACCTTTTCTAGCACTGATCTAGTACCTTCCACTACAGTTCAGGGTAGGGTTAACGGATAGCGCGATAGATTTCACTTAAGGTAAGCTGATGGCAGATAAAGCCTGCATGCAAGTACCAAACGAGCAGTCCAAAGAGAGAAGAACAGTCACCACTCTGCCACAGAGAAAGAAGAAGATTCTAGCAATTAAATGAATCCCGATTTTCTAATTAAAAGCCGAAAATATCAATTTATATTAATCCTCATATGGTGGCACCCGAATGGATTTTACTGTCTTACTTATGTATTCGTGAATGCTTGGTATGACATGAGTAATCTTATTAGGACTTCTAAGTTGAATGCTGGCATCAGTCTTGTGACTATCGCCATATAATTCAGCAGAATCAAGGGTTCTCTGATTGAAAACAAAGTATTTTAGAGACTTAAGCACTTTTGCATATACCAGTCTATAAAACTACATAAATGCATCGATGCATCCCTCTGAGGCACGTCCAGTCTACCGTGACACAAAGAGCATATAAACGCATCATGAACGTTTCAAGTTAGCACAGTGCCCATACCGCCACCATACCGACACCATCATGGCGACCCACCACCTCATTCTGTTAACCTTGGCCGTTGCCGTCACAGCCAGAACTGCTAATCGAGCGGAGGAACCTAGAAGCTCAGAGGACAGTTTTCTAGGGGACTTAAAGACTGCATACGATACTTACAAAGACTGCACCGGGGCAGAGCTTTCGAATTGTTTGAAGAGAAAACTCGCGAAAGCTCTATCGAAGGTGGCTAATACTGAGGAGCTATCGATTCCTGGTGGCGTAACCATAACGAAAGACAAGGATGCGAAGGTCAATGAGGTGGAAGTTGAGGAGGCGGTTCCGAGAGGTCTGGACGAGAGCTCCCTGGATAACATCATCATGGACAAAATCTTTAGATTCATGCAGACTCATACGGTCCAGGTAAATTTATTTTACTATTATTTATATTACTTTTTTTTTATTACTTTGTTGGTTGGACGAGCTCACCGCCCACCTGGTGTTAAGTGGTTACTGGAGCCCATCGACATCTACAACGTAAGTGCGTCACCCACCTTGAGATATAAGTTCTAATGTCTCAGTAAATATAAATACAACGGCTACCCCATCCTTCAAACCGAAACGCATTACTGTTTCACGGCAGAAATAGGCGGAGTGGTGGTACCTACCCGCGCGAACTCACAAGAGGTCCTACCACCAGTAATTATGCAAATTATAATTTTGCGGGTTTGATTTTTATTACACGATGTTATTTCTTCACCGTGGAAGTCAATCGTGAACATTTGGTGCGGATTTCATTAGAAAAATTGGTACCCGCTTGCGGGATTCGAACACCATTTAGCTAGGAGAGCGACTGAGCTAGCGTAATATTCTGTGACTACATCGGTGCATAGACAACACGAAGTGAATATCGCCTCTTAACTTCAAGCTTCAAGGGCATTGTAAGGGTGTACAAAAATCGTTTTGCGGCTACGAATACGTAGGTACTGGTTTAACTGCTGGTAGGACCTCTTGTGAGTCCGCGCGGATAGGTACCACCAGCCTGCCTATTTCTGCCGTGAAGCAGTAATGCGTTTCGGTTTGAAGGGTGGGGCAGCCGTTGTAACTATACTGAGACCCTAGAACTTATATTTCAAGGTGGGTGGCGCATTTATGTTGTAGATGTCTATGGGCTCCAGTAACCACTTAACACCAGGTGGTCTGTGAGTTCGCCCACACATCTAAGCAATAAAAAAAAGGTATCCATTTACCCATGTCACAACAAACCCATATAAATTTTTGAAAGTATAATTTTTATTACATGATTCTCTTGAGATTCACGGGGCTCTGCTGGATCCAAGGACTGCAGGACCGATTATTGCGGCGAGGCTTGGGGGAAGTCTATAACCAGCAGTGGACGTCTGTGGTTGGCTGATAGATATACCAAATCGTAGAAGGCTATAAATACGTCATTACGGATCCTCCCGATCCATTAACGGTGCTTTTAGGTACCTCAAGCACCGGTCACCGTCCTCGCCGAACTCGTCGCTTGCGACGGAGGGCTGGACAAGTAAATTAACTCATAGACCATAGGTTTCCACTCTTCAAACCAGAACGCATCACTGCTTCATGGCGGAAGTAGGCAGAGTGTTGATACTTACCCGCGCCGACGTCACGTCATCCGATGGGATGACCGAAAAGTAATCAGGCACATTTTTTGAAATATGTTAGATGACCCTAATGACGCCACTTTCAAAGGTTGAAAGGTTCCATAGCTTTCTGAACTTTTAGAAGGCATGGTAAGAGAGTTTCCATTGGCTAATTTCTTCTTCGTTTGTTGGTTCTATTCTATCTTTCACAATTCTGAGAGACACTTAGCACCAGAGGGTCCCTGAGTTTTCTATTCACCTAGAATCCCCTTCACGGTGTTTCCCGAGCGCTATGACATGTTCTTCTTCAAACGAAGCTTGTGGAGAGTAATAAACGGTAGGCAGTGGCTTAGCTCTGCCCCTGGAATTGCTGACGGTAACCACTCACCATCAGGTGGGCCGTATGCTCGTTTACCTGTACGGCAATAAAAAAGAAATGTCCTAGAACAATAAAGTTCAAATGGAGCTCCACCACCATAATGATTAAATAGCTATAACATCACTCAAATTACTTTATCTACCCAGAAGTGCCTTGTGAGTCGAATTCCAATAAATTATATTTCGTAACACTCACAAAATAAGTCATAAAATAACGCAATACAAAACTATCGATTCGTAATTAAGACATTATTATTCTTTTTGCGTCGAATCATCATTAACATTAATACTGTTTAATGACTATGTAATGCTGTTATTGCAATCGCATTTAGATTACTGAATTAGGACTTTTAAGGCATTGTATGATGCACGTCGATCGTTAAAAAGTTCACTGACCCCTGTAAAAAACGATAGCATTTCCTTCGGTTTTCGCTGGAGGTATTTAAAATTACTTTTAATAGTAGTTAATCGTCCGTGACCACGGAAATGTAATGTATTCGAAATGTAATAATGTAGTTACAGAATAAAATACACAAGACAAGCGTAAAAGTTGTTATTATAAATATTCTACTGGTGGTAGGACCTCTTGTGAGTCCGCGCGGGTAGGTACCACCGCCCCGCCCATTTCTGCCGTGAAGCAGTCAAGCGTTTCGGTTTGAAGGGTGGAGCAGCCGTTGTAACTATACTGAGATCTTAGAACTTATATCTCAAGGTGGGTGGCGCATTTACGTTGTAGATGTCCATGGGCTCCAGTAACCACTTAACAACAGGTGGGCTGTGAGCTCGTCCACCCATCTAAGCAATAAAAAAAAATCTTCTCTCTCTGTAAGCACTGTTGGTTCATGTATCCAAAATGGACCACTGAACAATATTGACTACGTGTTTTCAAGTGTCCCGCCCATTTTCCGTAATTAGGTCAGAATCGTCAGAGTAATCAAATTCAATCTCACTATTATGTACCTTTCGGCTTTGTATCTCAACCATTACCTCACGACCCATTAGCTTCCGACTGTCTAAGAAACCACATCATGGCTCTTAGTGAGATGCTATAAGTTCAATACCAGAGAGCGACCTACCCCGATCATTCTATATGACGGGCTCGTATTGTTCTGGGCAAGTCAGTCGTAATTAACAATAATTACTTGGTTTTTTTTTAAAAACAACAATGATACTCCCAGCTAATATTTTTATCATTCTTAAGTTAACGTTTGTTGATGTTGATGGGTTTGTTGTTGACCCCTTTAGGAATCTCTGGTTTAAAACATATTTAAAATCATCATCATTTAATGATGATGATTTTAAATATCACATGGGGTCGGCGCAACATGTTTTCTCCTTCCATACTCTTCTATCATATACCATTTCTTCGCTCACTCCCCTCGTACACATATCATTTTTCACGCAATCCATCCATTTTTTGTTAGGTCCACCTCTTCCTCTATATCTTTCCATATTCATAGCTATCACTCTCTTACCAACCTCATTTTCGTTTCGTCTTATCGCATGTCCATACCATCCCAAACGCGCACTTCTCAGCTTCTCTGTCACAGGTGTCACTTTCAGACTTCCTCTAACATACTCATTCCGTATTCTATCTATTCTCGTTACTCCACACATCCATCGCAAGATTCGCATATCTGCTGCATGCAATCGCCTTTCATCCGCCACTTTAGTCGTAAAACATATATTATTTCAAACTATCTGACCCGACAGACTTCGTAGTGCCTCAATCGATAAATAAAAGACCTAAACTTTTGTATAAAATAGGTAAACTTAAAACAAACAAAAGGAATCCGTCCGACGGGGGACACATCTAAGGAAAAACAAAATTGTTATTTTTATTTAATTCTGAGCATTTTCATATTTATCTACCTTTTAAACCTTCTCTGGACTTCCATAAATAATTCAAGACCAAAATTAGCCAAATCGGTCCAGCCGTTCTCGAGTTTTAGCGAGACTAACGAACAGCAATTCACTTTTATATTTATAGATATCGGAAGAAATTGCATTGTTATCATACTTAAGTGTAGCAAGTCGCCGATATTGGAATTCATTCATAGCCGCGCTCCCGTCTATCTATGTGAAGTACTCTCTTAAAATCCCGCGCTGGACGCCGCTAACGCTGACGTTGTGTCATACTGTATTATTATTATTATTTTTCTTAGATGGTTGGACGAGTTCACACACCAGGTGTTAAGTGGTTACTGGAGTCCATAGACATCTACAAAGTAAATGTGCCACCCACCTTGAGATATAAGTTCTAAGGTCTCAGTATAGTTACAACGGCTGCCCCGCCCTTCAAACCGAAACGCATTACTACTTCACGGCAGAAATAGGCAAGGCTATCGTATCTATATGTGCGGACTCACAAGAGGTCCTACCACCAGTAATAGTCTTTACTCTAGACGTTATGCTTCAAATAACTTTACGCTGAGAGTATAATTAGTTCGTAACGAGTGAAATCACATTATTTTACCGACAACGCACAGCGCGATAGTTCTGCAAACGCGCATACTCCTCACTAAACATTCAATAATTAACTCTAATTGCTATGTCTTAGTGGTTTCATTTCATTACACGATGCTACTCTTATGTCGTGGAAGACGTTTGTGAACACGCGCTATGAACATTATATTTTATTAGAGACTAGCTGACCCGGCAGACTTCGTAGTGCCTCAATCGATAAATAAAAGACCTAAACTTTTGTATAAAATAAACTTAAAACAAACAAAAGGAATCCGTTCGACGGGGGACACATCAAAGGAAAAACAAAATTGTTATTTTCATTTAATTCCGAGCATTTTCATATTTATCTACCTTTCAAACCTTCTCTGGACTTCCACAAATAATTCAAGACCAAAACTAGTCAAATCGGTCCATCCATTCTCGGGTTTTAGCGGGACTAACAAACAGCAATTCACTTTTATGTATATAGATTAACGGTTGGCAGTTGTAACTGTACTGAGACCTTAGAACTTATATCTCAAGGTGGGTGCCGCATTTACGTTGTAGATGTCTATGGGTTCCAGTAACCGATTAACACCAGGTGGGCTGTGAGCTCGTCCACCCAACTAAGTAACAACAACAAAAAGTCAGCGACTTGGTTGTGAAACTGGCATAGCTAACGTCCATGAGTGACGGTAACCAATTACCATCAGGTGGTCGTCTGCCTACAAAGGCTATAAAGAAAAGATATGAATACTTGTGACGAGTCTAGTGAATTCGAAATCCTGTCACGTTCCCATTGCAAGATACTTGTTACGAAATGCTCTCTTAGAAATGCTAAGCTGTAAACTCATCTGCTCTACCAAGCCATATTGTTTTGTAGCATAGCAGGAGAACTATGCAGGACCGCGGTGCCAATCCGTATCGGCTCAGCGCTCAGAGAGAGTCGTCACACTCTATTTAACAGCAAAAAGAAAACGGAAGTTTTTCTGCTAATTAACGACTTAATAAGATTCTCTTATTTTCTTTAAACAGTATTTTAATTTGTAATTGTTTTCGTTCATACTCGTAGTACTTATAGTATTACTAGCTTTTGCCGGCGACTCCGTCCGCGTGGAATAGGTACTTTGGCGTAACGCTAAATTTTACCTCCCACTTCATTTATGTAGAAAGTGAAAATATTTTTGAATTATAGAATGTTAAGGAGCTATTTAAACCCAATTTTGAAAAATTATTTAATGGTGCTCCACTTGTATTGGTCTTACCGTGATGTTAGCCTATAGCCTTGCTTAATAAATGGGCTATCTAACACTGAAAGAATTTTTCAAATCGGACCAGTAGTTCCTGGGATTAGCGCGTTCAAACAAACAAACTCTTCAGCTTTGTAATATTAGTATAGATAAATCTCTGAGTAGATTTTAAAATTTAAAAACAATGTCGACACACCGACTGCGTCGTTGTCCAGCTTGAGATATGGGTACAGATTCAAAAACGAGATGATTCCGATATAACCGCTTATGGTGGCTTCTTTAAAAACCTGCCATTAGATGTTATAAAAAAAATGAAAGTGAACGATCTTCTAATGCATATTCTCACGGATTAATAATGAACTCGTTAGGCGGGATCCCGCGATCGTGCTTTCTTTCGTGTTACCGCATGAAGTAGTAGGGTCGGAACATATCCCAAATGGTAGTACCACAGCCTGAACTTTATTTACTGCCAAACAAGGACAGACGAGGGTCCGTCTAAATGGTGTCATGGTTAGCACTGCTGGAGCTAGACCCATAGACCAAATGGAGGTCGAGGATAGAGGATGCCTTTCGGCACCATTTGCTGGTTGGCAAACGAAATTGGAATTTAAACTTCGTATCCCAAGAGCTTTTCGTCATTACGCAGAAATCTGCCGCCGCCGAGCAGGGGGTCGGGGTCCCATCCGTGACCTGGCTCTCTAAGAACTTCGGTTTATGCGGGGAGGGACCCAGATGTGGGGCGGGGTGCTTTAGACTACGCCCGTAATAGGAAGCCGACTGATGGTAAACCGCGTTCCCCCGACCGCTCCGGGGGAAGGTGTAGCGTGGCACCATCAAAGCGGGCTCCCAGCCCGTCGACCGAGGGAACCGGTAGTCGTGTCGCTGGCGGCTGCCGGTCCGGCGTCTGGGGGACGGTGGAATGGATGTAATATGATCTGCGTAACTGGATTTCGGCCTGGTCCAGGGTAGGGCGCCGGCTGTGAGCGGCAGGAGCTTTTAGTGAGGTTCAACTCCCACATACCTCGCTCGCTGCGCGGATGGGGATCCGGCGATATTCACTTGTGGAAAAAATAATAATCCCAAGAGCTTTCGCTCTCACTTTCTCCAGCTAACTTCTGAATGATTTCCAGTTCAACTTCCCGACCGGCTCCGATGTACAAGAGACCGAAGAAGGCCGTGATAAAAGAAAAAAGTTCGCACCGATGCTCGCCATCCCGATCCTCGTCATAGGAATGATGGTGCCTCTGGCTTTCGGAGCTCTGGCTCTACTGGCGGGCAAGGCTCTGATCGTGTCCAAACTGGCCTTGGTATTAGCCGGTATTATTGGCTTGAAGAAGCTTTTGTCTCCAAACGGTGGAGGTCATGAGGCCCATGAGGTAGTGGTGTCTGCTGGACATTCCGCTTCAGGGTGGAGCAGGTGAGATATTGTTGAATAGTAATTTTGACAAGTTAAGTTGTTATTGCTCGCGTAGCTAGTGCGATGATGAGTCGTCCTGCATACGGTACCATAGGGTGCGTCGGGTTTAAATAATTTGGGATTCAGGATTAAATGCATTGGTTCTTGTCTTGCCTGACTACCAAAAATGAAAACTCTTCTAAAGTTCAGATAGTCTCCATATGTGCAGACTATCTCACAGCCCACCTGTCATTAAATACTCAATGATGACCATGGACATCACAACGTAAATTCCGCCCGCTACTTTGAGACAAGGTTGATGTCTCAATTGTATTTTATTGTGGCTATCTAAACTTCCAAACGTATGAATGTGGAAGAAATTTGCAGTAAAACCTAAAGAATTTTTTTTTACTTTCAGATCACTAGAAAAAGCACACGACTTAGCTTACAAAGCGTACGCCCATTAAATGAAAAATAAAACGTAAATACATTATTTATTACGCGAAGGGACAATTGAATTTTGAATCTTAAAACCATGCTCATTAAGTATGTTATTGTATCGTGTTTTACAGTTGAAGAGTTAAACCAAAAATTTATTTCAATCGTTTATTTAAGATTTTTTATCAATGAATAATAAAAAGTTTTGTTTATTTATTTTCATTTACTTTCATTAAATAAAATTGGTATAGATAAACTAAAAAATACTTAATTTAATTTAAAAAAATGTTATGGTAAGTTTTCGGAAAACGCAAATGAATAATAAATATAGATATCATTAATTCATTTTTCATATAACATTTTAATAAAAAATGTCTACACTTTTATATTTATGATTAAAAAATATTTAAAAATGATTAAAAATTAAACGCGTGTACCTAAAATACTCAAATTATCAATTATTATTGCCAGTATATTTATGTCAAATAAATAAATAACTCAGTATTTTATTAATAAATAAATGTACATAATATTTAATCTATAAATTATAGTATTAAATGATAGTATGTATTATATTATATGAAGTCTTTGGAGATTGCTTTAATACATAAATTAAAATGTGTGTTTTGTTAAGAGTACCTTTTTGTTGTACTGCACTGGTACAAAAGAAGACAATAATTGGAAATTATCGCGTTTTTCTCTCAAGAATTACATATACCTACTTAAGTGTTAGGTTTAGTCATTATAAAAAAAATTTAAAAATATACTATCATTTATAATATGAATATAATTCTTACTTATTAGTAGAACATATTTTGATATCGTAATTACGTATTTTATGTTTAGTCTATCTATTTATCATATTATCATATAACATTATATTTAAAGTATATTTAAATATTGTAAATATTGTAAATAACTTATTTATTTTAATTTTTATTATCATAATGTAAAGTATTCGTTCTTGTGATTTTTATTATAAATATGACATAATAAATATTTATTCCATTATATATGATATTACAGTATTTCAACAAAGGTGCTCTCAAAGTGCAATGTATATAATATATATGTATAAATATATATATGTAATATTTTATTAGTAAATCGTTCAATTACATTTAACTTTTACTGATTAATTTATTTTTGTTAATTGTCAAAATAAACTTTTGGTACTCAATTTTGATTTTGATTTTAATTATATTGGACAAGAAATGGCAGTAATACTAGACCCTCATGATGAAGCTTTTTAATAATAGCTCTAGATGCGGTGATGAGCTAAGAGCATCCATTTCAAGAAATGATAGACCCAGGAAGACATACTGTGTCAGTCGTATGTGGAATTTTTATTTTTTATTTTTATTGCTTTGATGTGTGGACGAACTCACAGTCCACCTGGTATTAAGTGGTTACTGGAGCCCATATACATCTACACCGTAAATGCACCACCGACCTTGAGATATAAGTTCTAAGGTCTCAGTATAGTTACAACGGCTGCCCCAACCTTCAAACCGAAACGCATTACTGCTTCACGGCAGAAATAGGCCGGGCGGTGGTAACTACCCGCGCTGAATCACAAGAGGTCCTACAACCAGTGATACTATATTAAGGATATCTGTAACTACCCACGAAATTTTAACCCAGGTATACAACCGCTTGATACGATAACACCTGTACACTTGCGCTTTGGCCCATTTATGCCACAAAGTGCCAGAGATACTGAAATACCGAACTATCGTATGGCCAGTATGCAGGTCAAAGAAGTGACATAACATCCGCGTCCCAAATAAACCAGACACACATACCCAAAGTCTTCGTAAACTTTCGCTGCTAATGCAAACATATTTTTACATGTTACTCAATGAGCACTCACGACGGCCAATTGTGATTTGGCTCATAAATAATTCAAACACACATGGCAGTGCCAAATACTTGTGTGTCCGCGAAAATCGGGACAATCGAATCCGATTTTGTTGTGGAATGTCGCACTGACAGCTTTTCAACGGGGTGGTGATTTGTGTCTGAAGACCGTAGCTAGAGTCAGTATATTAAGAGCAACCCATAATGTGACGCCAAGGATGCAAGAAGTACTGTTCTGGTGGAAGGTAGGATCACGGCAAGGGCTACCTGCTCTATTCATGATGTGGCAGCAAACCAATGCATATATATACAGGGGCCCACAAGACCCCTGTGCTATTAGAGCAGGAGGTTGTGGAAAGGATGAGGTCGTTGAGGATAAGACTCCCGCTGCATTCATGTCTAGCGATGCGCCTTTTTTCTTAATTTTTTTATTGCCCTTGTAGGTAGACGAGCATACAGCCCACCTGATAATGAGTGGTTACCGTCGCCCATGGACTTCAGCAATGCCAGGGGCAGCGCCAAGCCACTACCTACCGCTAAACGGGCGCCTGCGTCATTGTTCGAATCCCGCAAGCAGATACCATTTTTTCTAATGAAATGCGTACTTTATAAATGTTCACGGACGACTTCAATGGTGAATGAATAACATCATATAATAAATATCAAACCCGCAAAAAAGTTATATTCTTATTTTTTTGTTTTTTCATAATTAAAAAAAAATCCATAAAACCCTTCATAATAAGCTAATAAATCACAATTGACCACGCGGGTACTTACCACGCTGTTTATTTTTGCCGTGAAGCAGTAAAGCGTTTAAATTTGAAAGGTGAGCTAGGCGTTGTACTCTAAAAAAACAGAGATTTTGAACACTAGATGTCCCATGAGCTCATCCACTCATTTAATAAAAGGAGATTTAATCTTTTTAGTGGTGGTAGGATGTCTTGTGAGTCCGCGCGGATAGGTACCACCACCCTGTCTATTTCTGCCATGAAGCAGTAATGCGTTTCGGTTTGAAGGGCAGGGCAGCCGTTGTACTGTTACAACTGAGACCTTAGAACTCTTGTCTCAAGGTGAGTAGCGGCATTTACACTGTATATGTCTATGGGGTCCGATAACTACTTAATATCAGGTGTGAGCTCGTCCACTCATCTAAGCAATAAAAAAACCGGTTATTTTGTCTATCAAGAGAAATAACGCTTTAGGTCGAAACTTCAAGAAAAAAAGATTGACACTGACCTTCTTGTTCAAGTGAAAAGTATTATTTAAGACGAAAATAAAAGAATGAAACACGTCCACGGACGCGGGCAGACAACGAAAACACTGTTACGTAAGAGTAACAGGCTTTTTTTCTTTCTTTTATAATGACAAGTCGTTTTCTCAGTAAAATTGGCCTAAATAGTTGTTCATAGAATGTTTACGTCATGCTGAAAGTCGACTATATTCTAATACTAGCTGACCCGGCAGACTTCGTAGTGCCTCGATCGATTAATAAAAGACCTAAATTTTTGGTATAAAATATACTTAAAACAAACAAAAGGAATCCGTCCGACGCGGGACACATCAAAGGAAAAACAAAATTGTTGTTTTTATTTTTTATAATTCCGAGCATTTTCATATTTATCCACCTTTTAAACCTTCTCTGGACTTCCACAAATAATTCAAGATCAAAATTAGCCAAATCGGTCCAGCCGTTCTCGAGTTTTAGCGAGACTAATGAACAGCAATTCATTTTTATATATATAGATTTCTTAGCTCGGAAGAAGTACTTCTTGCTGCTGGCGCTTCTCATTCTGCTTATCATTCCCATATGAACGTCGCTGTCCACTATGAGGCAGATGAATGTTTTTCCCTTCTGGTAGCCTAAGAGACTATTCCAACTACGCCCGGATGGATAGGTGAGCTTACAGCATCAACCTGAGAGTATTTACTAACACTAGCCCTAGCAAGAGCGGTGCTTCGCTGAATCTAGCACCGGATCGGAATCGCAACCCACTGAGAAGATCCGGCGAGAAACTCATTGGGCTGTGTCTATGGGTTAGTTCACTTGTCGAACGAGGAAGAAGTCACAAGTTTGTTGGTTAGACTATTGTTTCACCCTTGAAACAGATATGGCTCTCTAAGTGTCGATTGACCTTACAATAGGGTGTATGAAAAATAAGGATATAACTGATGAAGAAGGATGATACAAAAATGCGGAGCTTAAAGAAACCGGAAATTCCTATTTATATTTTTAGAATTTGTAAATTTTGCTGGCAAAGAATAAGAAAAGGTCTCCCAAATACCACTCATAGGCTAGTTACCAGCTAGTTTTAAAAGTATAACCCGGAATATGATAAATCGGGTAGATCCTACTAAAAAACTATTTAGCTTGTGCTATGAGGAATTGCTTCAGATGATCCCCACATCTCGTTTTTACCATCGCACCGCCAGCCACCGGAGTAGATTTCATCCATACTACCTGGAGCCACTGCGTTCATATACAGTGCATTTCCAGAGATCATTTTTGCGACGTACCATCCGGCTTTGGAATGAGCTCCCCTCCACGGTGTTTCCCGAGCGCTATAACATGTCCTTTTTCAAACGAGGCTTGTGGAGAGTATTAAACGGTAGGCAGCAACTTGGCTCTGCCCCTGGCATTGGTGAAGACTATGGGCGACGGTAACCACTCACCATCAGGGGGGCCGTACACTCACATATATAATACTGTAAACGCGTCATGTAGAGTCCCACATAATGTTTTATAATGGCATTGAAACTTCGATCCTTTTTCTTAAAGTAGATAGATAATACACTCACACCGATTTAAAACAATAAAAGATATCACACGAGTCATTCAAGCGATCCACTGTATTATTAGTTTAATCAAGACATCTACCCTTTATACAATCTTTACAGAGCATCTAGTGAGAGTCCTACACCATAAAACATAATTTCTCATAGAAATATGTGAAAATTTCCCATCGCATACAATTAAACAAGAGCGATAACCATAGATAATTTGTTTTTTTTTTTTCTTTCAATTAACTTGTTCTCATAACGACGGCGGAGAAAGAACAACTTTTACTTAGATAAGATTTTATGTGTGTATTTGGTGTGTTGTTTTTGTCCCACATACTTCGATATGTCCCCTAGGCGTGGACACCTCGTGTGAAGCTCGGACTCTGCTGTCCCATCCAGCTTTAAGTTCCCGAATAGTGGAGAAGCTTAGGGATATTTTTGATTGTATTTGTAGACAGTAGAGCCTGCGACTTACCCTTATGCTGAGTACGCTAGAAACACATTCTACGAACTGGAATCCTTTCTTATCGTTCACATCCTTACTACTGACGCTTCAGTATATTGTGGATCCTCAAGGGCTCACTAACCTCCCTATTCTTACCGCTAGGTTGATTTTAAAAGTGAAACTGTCAGTATATACAACTAAGATTTGGATCTCGTTCTTTGAAGAGGATAATAGGATTCACATAATGCTGTCCATGGACTCCAGTAACCATATAACATCAAGCAGGTTAAGTCCACATTTACCCACCTACTAAAGTAAAACAATAACAATAATAAAGTAGTGGCTTATGATAAGATCCAAGGTATCTGGTCGCAGTCGATGTCTTTATTAAAGATATTTGATATTTGAGATACTGAGCTCACATGATGTGATCTCTGTGCACATAACACAGGAGATACACGTAGCGTTGGCTCGTAAAATATGTTACGATTATATTTTATGTATTATGGAATTATTTTTGGTATGTATCTTAGCTGGTATCTGCAGGTAATGCTTCTATCACAAGTCAATCTGGGTTGTTTTTTTTGTAGATAGATTAAAATTTAATGTGATTCTCATTTCGAGATATTAAAATGCAGTTATTTTGTCAAATTGTACAAAAAACTATTAACGAAATGAATTACCACAGTAAAGTAGATTAGACTCTACTACGGAGCATGTTCGTTATAAGATTAAAATACTGAGTTTCAAAGCAATATATTTCAGTTGATAATTTGCCTCATGTCTCAAACTGTATTTTATCCACGGACTCAATCTTTAATTTATCGGTAGATGAGTCTCTATCTCGCCTACACTTCCCGGACGATAAAAATTAGTATATAAGAAAGTAGATCAGATCATCAGACTTAAAGTTTTGTCGGTAGTGAATACGTATAAAGGTTATTTAGATCACGATAGCTCAATCTAATATTCAGTTTATTTGATGAACACATACGTACATAACTAAGTCATCACACTTCTTTAAATATTTAAAAATTACATCAACGGTAACGCTAATAAAAATCAATCTTTAACATCCTTACGCACACTTGAACTGTTGAGGAGAAAAATACGATACATTTTTATCTAATTTATAATTAGAACGAAAATCGTAAATTTATCAAAGAAAAAAAAATCTCGTCAAAATTATTTGAACAATAACTGGAGATACAACACTCTTACTTTCGACAGAAGAACGACATGGCACTACGAACGAACACCTGCGACAACCAGCGCAACGTCCACACAACCTGTCACCCGTCGGCAACCATCGCCATGAATGGACTCGGAGACCACGCCACAATTAACATAAAACAATTTTATCGGTACCAGTTTAATCGACCGCTTGTCAGACGGTGACCGGGCGCCTTGGTGGGGCGGGGGACTTATAACGGCTCAGCCTTAACTCAGCCACTACATTTTGTGTTTGCTTTCCAAAGGGTGGTTCTAAACGGACGATATGAAGTGTCTGGTCGTTTTAATGGTGATCGGCGTGGCGTGGGCGATGCCTGCTGCCGAACAAGACTCTGACCCGAACATCCTGGGAAGCGTCCTGGGCGTCGTCAAGGAGTGCGTCGACGGTGACGTCACCCTGTGCCTCAAGGTCTGGACACCAGTGAAGTGGACTTGTGATAGTGGAAAACGTGAACAGTGAAATAATTATATCTATTTTGGTTGCAGGAGAAAGCTTTGAGATACGTGGAGACTTTGAGGTCTAAGAGGGAGATCACGCTGGTCGATGGCGTTACTCTGGACAGCAAAGGCTCGCCCAGGTCTGCCAGGGCCTTGGAGCCGCTGCCCGAGGAGCCTAAGGCCAGGGAAGCACAGGTCGAGTCTAGACTCGTAGACGGTGTGGCAGACTTCTTGGAAAATTACGTCGTGCAGTTCAAGCTCCCGTCTTCCGCTGTTGAGGGCATGAGGAGATCATTAGATGAAGGTGTGTATAAACATTATTTGTAGTTCACATTTTTAAACCCACAAACCCTAAAACTACATTAGATTTTAATTGGCCATTTCGTCGTAAAACCAATTAAAAAAAGATTAAATAAAATACAGTATAAACAGCGTGAATAGCTTAATTATAACTCAGTACCAAGTCCGAGTTAATTGCTTCGTTATGAAAAATACTTGTTAATGTGGTAATGAGGTGCCATTTATCGTTCAAGATTCTAAATCGGTTAATCTTTCTAAGTTTACACAGCATTAGTTCCTAATGTGAAAACCATACCATTATTTTATAATACAACGCATCCTAAAAGACTACTGAGTGGCATTTTAAAGCTTAATCTATATATTAATACGTGAAGCAAAAACTTTGTATCCCTTTTTACAAATATTGCGCGGACGGAGGAGAATGAAATTTTCCACACTTATAGAGGATATAGAGAAGAAGTGCACAATGTTAATATTTTTTTAAAATATTGCATAAAAGATACATTAAATCAATAAAGAAAACATTACACACACTACATACCATGTATTTGACGCACACACACATGCATACTATTTATTGTGAAACTTTTGTTCTTAGCATCTGTTGTCAAATTGAGAATAGATTAAATATTGTTTGCCTTTGTTAATATTTTTTAAAGTGTAGTCTTGGCGAAATTTGTGATTATAGAAGTATAAAATACAATCATAATAGTGTACAAACTTACAATTCCAATTAATTATAGTCGAATTTCGACTACTGCGGGACCTCTAGTAGAATTTAAATACTAAAAACTGAATCACAAATTAATTGCCTTCCCAAGTTTATTCCGAGAGCTTTTCAACAAAAAACTTTATTGTCATTATGTCATTAAGATACAAAAAAGTTATATTCAAATAAACATTACACTACAATCATTGATGAGCGTATTAAATCGTTTCAAAATTCGATGTGTTAGTAAGCCGTAATACTATCAAATTTCATTCATAGCTTTAAATAAATAGTTGGATTAAAAAAAAATTAACTACAGTTAGAACGTTGGACTCGGAAATAAAAGAACAGCTAATTTACCGTCTGCACATAAAAGTAGCGGACAATGTCCGTATGTGTATTTATTGTTCAATATTTTTACGTTAACTGACAATTATTAGTAGAGCGTACGAACGAATTAAAAAAAATTTAATAAAGAATTTCATCTCATTTTTATGACGACTTCAAAAGTACGAATCCGGTTTTTTTTTGTGGAAATAAAGCGTTATCGACTAAAAGTGATTTCAATAGTCAAATTGAATCTATGAGTTTATTAGTAAATTCAAATTTCAACCATTCCTGAAGTTCAACCCAATTTAACAACTGCACAGATCAAAATCGATTATCGAATTATTATTTTTCTTAACTTCAAATCACTACAGCTTTTAATTAGTTTATTATTATCGCTAGAAGATAAACAGATAGATGTACTGTGTAGCTCTTAAAACGGTTTTAGATTAGGTGAAGTAGCGTGCTAAAACTAATGCTTCAGTTAAATTGTGCTAAGTAAATACATCAAAAAGAAAGCAAGATAAATATTAATTAGTACACTGACGAATGTTGAAAATATCCACGCTTTTAAAACGGACAAAACTAAGTAGTGCCGACGGGCCTCTACTCATGAGCACAAACTAGGCATTTTTAGTTGGTTATGATGTTAATGCTTACCTCGCATTACATTGATGACTTAGTTATTAGGAGCAGCCTGATCACCGTCAAAGTTTCGACGAGTGAATAACCCATAGACACAGTCCACTGAGTTTCTTGCCGGATCGTCTCAGTGGATCGCGTTTCCGATCCATTGCTAGATTCTGCGAAGCACTGCTCTTGCCAGGGCCAATGTTAGCAACACTCCCGGTTTGAGCCCCGTGAGCTCACCTACACGTCAAAGACAAGCTGATGTAGCCTCTCAAGACTATCAGCCTAAGTAGGTTAATAAAAAAAAAGGAGCAGAAAACAATTCCAAAATATATAGGGCTACATTAGATTATATGGTTAAATATACTATACATTAGAGCCTGTTTAATGTTCCTAGCATATTAATTGACATTCCGTTAATTATCTAAATAGAATCTTATCGTTACGTCAAGCACTCAAATTTATGCTTAGTAGGAATTTATTCATCTCGTTGCAATTAAACTCTATACTCTGTTGCTATAATAAACCGGGGAGAAGATGGATTCATAATGTGGCCAGACTGTGCTTGTTGTGAATGTAACGATAACGAGAAACATTCACCGATACGAATAAGTATATCGTTAATTAGTTAAAAACTCAAAGTTTAATTACGTTAAAAAGAGTTAACAATTTCACTTATTCCGAATATCATGCATATAAAAATATTATAATTCATGCATGCATACGTCCCGTTGAAATTAAAATCAACTTTCTTCAAACACCAAAATAAACTTCTGAGAATGTTTTCATAACAACTTTCACTTTTTGTTTTTTTAATTTGGGTTAACGTCAAAGGGAAACAAGATACGATCGGTCCAAATTCATCGATTTCCGTCGTAACAACTCTGAGGCTTTGTTTAGCTTCGAGCTTAACAACTCGATCTATTTTGTGTGATTCACAAAGGCATTACGTGATGTGAGTATTAATAAATGGCAGCTTGTGAAGAGCTAGTGGTATTGCTTTCTATACCATAAATAACCAGTTTATTTGTCACTCAACTACAAGAAATTATGAATGATTGAGTCCAGTTTTCAGTATCAAATTCTCGATTCGGTGTAAACTTGCTTGCAAAGTTCGGTCTTGTTTGGGAATTTTTGATAACTATATGAGATAATTCCAGTCTAGCCGTTTTAAATTTGGTCTATAAATTTTTTTTAGTAAAATTTTAATAGTATCTTGTTTTTACAACGCATTGGAAAACAACACTGCATGGATTACCCAAGCGAGTCTAATTGTTGAGATCCACTTCGGATGTCTTATATCCGAAGAGTTAATTTAATGGCATAGAACATAAATGCGCCCACTTGGCTGGACGATATACTTAATACATCCAGCCTCAAGTTTATGATGTACTAATTCGATGCCTCCAATGAACACTACTTTTAGTTAAAATTTTGAAATTTTCGTTTTTCACGCAAATCGCTATATTGATGGGGTTCGAAGCAAGAGTAAATCAGCTAGTTACACACAAAAAAAAAACCATAAATATATATTGTAATAATAAAGATTTTATTAACTTTTTTCGTTTAAACGCTCCTCCTGTAAACCTACGAATTTTTGGAGTTAGCGTAGTGTTCATTGGAGCCATCGAATTTAATGTTGTACATCTAACAAGCTTTGAAACGGTATTTGTGGAACGCATTCGAACTACTCTATTGCCATAGATTCTTGTTCTAAATACCTCTATCGAATGTGAACTACGGATCATAATAAACACAAAACTTGTTATTCCATTGGCGTAGCTGTTCCATTGGAGCTATCATGATTCGAAACATTACTACTAAAATCAGTGCTCAGAGGGGCTCGGTTCGTGATCTTGATATTTGACATCTAATTGTATTGGAATAAGATACATTTTAAACTAGAACGCATGATATATTCGATATAGACAAGCTAGTGTTGTCCTAGCATGCGGAATCGCTATGACCTCAGTTAATTCATTTAACGATTAGAAATGAACTATGCTCTCTGCTCTGTTGCCCAAATCTGTGAATTTTGAGACATAAAATTCTCAATTTTATTAGAATCTCAATCAAAACCTTAAACTAGGAAGCGTTATAGTTACAAACCGTAATGTAATACCGACAAACTTAGGCAATTCAGTCAGTAATTATGTGAAGTGAAATTTGGTCGTTTTCGCAAGTTAAGGTCCTTAACGCGAACGCAGTGGCTTTCCATTCGACGAGCCATGAAAGTATAAGAAATTCCTGGTCAAGAAAACCAGTTTGACTCACGTTACCGTGAAATCGACTCCGGAGACCACGCAAAGAAAGTTTGAACAGGTTTCATAACCTGTCTCGAGCCGGACGTGGATAAGGTATCAATGTTTATGGATGCCCATTTCCGGATATTTCAAATGTTTATTAGATCAATCGGATGTCTAAGTATTTAATTGCTAGATCCGCCTTGATCATGGTCCGGTTAGCGTCAAGCGGAACTGAAACCCATAGATATTTAGGCATATATTATACATTAACAGAGTTACACTAAAATAAATTTAGTACTTAAATTATTGTTGGGGTGTAAATCGTAATACGCGGTGGCCATGATCCGCCCTTGGATAAATAATTTTTTGATCACTCATTCACACGTAGTAAATTACCAAATGACTTGTAACATAGTAAGTCAGACTCTAGTTAGTTTTAAGTACTTTTTATTTTTTTATTGTAAACATTAGAGAGTAGAGCGTTTCAACTTCTCTACGTAATTGACTTCTAGATAACCGTACAGTTCTCACTATTCTCAAAGTTACAGCTAAGAACTATGATTTCTAGTAAACAAAATTTGAATTGTACTGGCTCTATTACCCATCAATGATAGAGCTTGTTTTATTATTCTGGCTAGTTCTTACGCAAAGTTTTAATTCAATTTGAACAATCAGATAGTATTTTGATGCTTTCAAGGATTGATAATCATGTTTTGGTCTCCACCAAATCGATTTGTGATCGTTACTGAAGTATCGCAGAGCATCTACCTATTTGTCGGTCTACATCTGTAAAAAATCAGTTTACCTGATTTTGGCCAGTTCTTCGATTAGTTATTTATGTCGTAGATTTTCGGATCTTAAGTTTCTATCAGTACTGTTTATCAGGCCATTCAAATATTTTACCAACTAATCACGTTAATAAATTGCATTCTATTTAGCTAACAAAACATTTCCCTTATTTTAGAGATTTAAAAAAAAGTTACTCCTAAGTATTTAGATTATACTGTAACAATCAACACTTAGTCACTTCGATCTTTAAAGGACATAATATTCAAGTGAATAGCCTAAAAAGATGTCATGTCCTCCCACGAGTATCTAAACTTGACGCGAAAGTAGAAATTAGAATGGTGTCTCGACACGGATCATGTCCTTATATTTGGTGAGCTAGCCTCGTTAGAACTAATGACCTTATGAGGCGTATTTAGAAGGCATTTGTGTTGTATTCTTTAGGACTCATCGAACTGGCGGAGATGACATGAGTGCTTCCGCGTCCACATTGAGGCACGAGGTCAAAAATATTGTATAGAGACCCACTTATTGAACCATAATACGTCCTGCGACAAAACACAACGACCCTACGCACATACTCTTGTATTATATTCATATAATCTAACGAAGTATTCTGTTGTTAAATTCCAGCTCGTGGTAAGAAGAAGAAGATCAAGCAGCTCCTCCCTCTCTTGGCCATCGCCAAACTAAAGATCATGGCCCTCATCCCCCTATTCTTGGGTATCATCGCCTTCGCAGCCGCCAAAGCCGTCGTACTTGCCAAGATCTCACTCCTGGTCGCCGGTATCATTGCTCTGAAGAAGCTGCTGGCCAGCAAGCACACCGAGACCAGTTACGAAGTGGTCGCCCATCCTCACCACGAGGAGCACTACGCAAGCAGCGGCCACGGCTGGGGCAGGTCTATCGATGACGCCCAAAACATGGCCTACAGCGCCCATATTAAATCTGATTAAATTACTGCCCAAAAATTTTTTGGTCCACCGTTTAAAGTACTAATACCCTGGTATATTTAATCGTTAGCGTTTAGTTAATTTATTTATTTATTGTACACCCTTTGTAAGGGTTCGCTAGCGCGATGTTGTTGTTGTTCCCAAAAAAAGTTCGTTCTGTTTTTGTATGTTCTCTTTATACTATATTAGTATTTCTCCTGAAACTCTTGTACGGTATCCGTATTTGTGTATTTTATTTCTAAAAGTTTTGTAACTTATTTTTATTAATCTTATTTTATAAATCTAGTCTACTTCTAAGTCCTGCTAATTTATTTAGTTTAGTTTTTTTTGTTTAAATAACATTATCTGTTTATTTATTTATTTATTTTGTGATATATCGTTTATTTCATTTATTATTTTATTCGCTTTATTCTCAGATATTTATCGTATTGCTTCATACAATATCTATTTAAGTATATTTGCATGCCATATTTTATTACGTGCATATTTTATATAGTAGTCGTATATGATAAGTATTATGTGTATCCATATATTATATCATGTGCTTCTATGTTTATGACCGCATAATGAAACGTACAAATAAAGAACTGATGTATTAATGTTGATTTTTCTTCATTGTGGACATGAAATATTGAGACCAACAGCCCAAATGCTTATGTCTAATGACAAGTAGGTGTATGGTAGGCAGCGGCTTGGCTCTGCCCTTGGCATTGCTGAAGTCCATGGGCGACGGTAACCACTCACCATCAGGTGGGCCGTATGCTCGTCTGCCTACAAAGGCAATAAAAAAAAAAAGTATTTAGCGATAAGCATCTTGATTGAACTAAGTTCAGTTACTCGCGATGGAATCATTAATCTACATTTAATTTTCTCCCAATAATACGGTATCAGCTATTAGGTAGTAAGTAGCTTTAACAGAAGTGAGTTGAGAAGTTGAGTACATTCAAAACATATGGTAGGCAGCGGCTTGGCTCTGCCCCTGGCATTGCTGACGTCCATGAGCGACGGTGACCACTTACCATCAGGTGGGCCGTATGCTCGTCTGCCTACAAAGGCAATAAAAAAAAAAAAAAAGAAACAGTAATCGATTTGATCAAATTTATAATGTCTAAAATTTTCTATTTTCACTGCCGTGAACAGAATACATTAAGACAATTCATTGGCAAAGTTCAACAATAATGTGGTTTTGACTCGAAATCGTCAACAGCGTTCAATAAAACTAGACGATGAAGGGAAATTGCTTCATTTCTTGGTGGTAGCCTTAGAGGGTTATGCCTACGTAACCTGTTGCTAACACTAGCCTTAGCAAGAGCAGTGCTTCGCAGAATCTACCACCGGATCGGAAACACGATCCACTGAGAATATCCGGCAAGAAACTCAGTGGGCTGTGTCTATAGGTTAATTTACTCGCCGTGCCCTTCGTCGCAAGAGATCTGTTCGACGAGAACGGTGACCGGTGCTTGAGGTACCTAAAAGCACCGTTACTGGATCGGGAGGATCTGTAATGACGTGTTTTGGGCGACGTCGACTGCTTACCATTCGATCCGTACCGGTCTGGTGTGTCATTTCCGGCGGCCACGACAAAACGGTTTTCGTGTCGATGCCGACTAAATATATTTACTGATGTAGTCAAGCTCCAGATCGTTGTGGAGATCAAAATTCCTCATGAACCACGGTGCTCCGACAGCTATCCTGTAAAAACGGGATTGTATGATTTGGAGGGGTTTCTAGTTAGTGCGAGCCGCATGAGCGAACACTACACTTGCATAGGTTATGACGGGGCGTATGCAAGTTTTGTAGGGTATCACCGAATCGAACGAGCTATGTCATGGCTATGGAGTACTATGGAGCTCATCTACAGGCCAAAATATGACAAAAGCGTACGAGCTACCGGAGAACTGGGTTTGGCTAGAGACAAATCGAAATTCGTGAATAGCATTGGCAACGATTCCTGGATGTAGAGTTTCGCTGACCCTACAGATCTATGTGACAAAATCATTCAATGTTCACCAACTTCAAAATGTGCGATTCACTTAAAAACTTGCACCTATGTCTAAGACTAATCATAATTCGATTATCATTATTATTATTATTTATTTATTGCTTAGATGGGTGGATGAGCTCACAGCCCACCAGGTGTTAAGTGGTTACTGGAGCCCATAGACATCTACCACGTAAATGCGCCACCCAACTTGGGATATAAGTTCTAAGGTCTCACGTATAGTTCGGCTGCCCCACCCTTCAAACCGAAATGCATTACTGCTTCACGGCAGAAATAGGCAGGGTGGTGGTACCTACCCGCGCGGGCTCACAAGAGGTCCTACCGCGAGTAATTACGCAAAGTATAAATTTGCGGGTTTGATTTTTATTATCCTTCACCGTGGATGTCAATCGTGAACATTTTTTAAGTACGTATTTCATTAGAAAAATTGGTACCCGCCTTTGATTAAAACACCCATGCATCGCTCAACACGAATGCACCGGACGTCTTATCTTTTAGGCCACGACGACTTCACGACCCGTTTTTATTAAATAAGAAAACACATACTTTAATTGCAGGTCTAACTAAAAAGTCTAATGTAAAATAATTGTTTGCTTTTTACTACATGTATTTTTACGAAAATGAGTAATGAGTATATCAGAGGAAGTGTGAAAGTGGCCCCGGTAAGCAAAAAATTAAGGAGCGGTCGGTTAGCGTGGTATGGACATGTGATGCGTAGAGAGAAGATGCATGTGACTAGGAGATGTATGGAAATGGTAGTGCAAGGTGGAGGGGGAAGAGGTCGACCGAAGAACACATGGATGGAGTGTGTGAATGACGATATAAGAGAGAGAGGAGGGAGTGTTGAGATGACGGCTGATAGAAGAGAATGGAAGAGAAAAATTAGCTGTGCCGACCCCACCTAGTGGGATAAGTTGGAGAAAAAGAAGAAGATTTTTACGATAAATCTAAAAAGACGAAATAAAATAGAGAATCTTGTGAGTTTAATACCATAATACCATATAATTTGGCTTGTTCATTGACACAAACGGTACGCACATAAATATAATCAGAACACTACTCGTCGACCCTAAAGACGCAACGACCCCCCATCACGCTTCTCATAGAATCGCGCAAGTTAAAAAACCGGACCACGTCCGCACCGCAAGCGACACCGCCAATGATAATTAATAATTGATGAAATAGAAAGTTTCTCACGCTGGGCATATTCAATGTGTTAGTGACGTAAGCTTTGGCAAAAAAAAATTGCCGTGCTATTTCTAGTACGCTGGTTTGGGTGACTAGCTTTTTTTTTGGTCCACGAGGAAATCGCTGGACTCCCGCCCTCCACTAGAAATGGCGGGCGGTGCATGTCATGTCGGAGCCGAACCGACTAAACTCCTGTAGCTCAACGACCCACGTCCGAACCTCGCATGAGACAGAACTCATGAAAAGGCAAAGGGGGGAGAGTGAAGTGCTTAGTGCGGAGCACATCTCTTCCATTACCCTCCCCCTCGGGACGTTGGACCGGCGGTCGTCGGCGCCACGACCACCAGCCCTCGAGCCCTCTCGATTTGGGGACTAGCTGGAAGGTACCGTGGAATTGTTTGAATTACAACCGTTTGAAGACTCTGTCAGCGACATTTCAAATTACATTTCAATTAACGTGATCATTAGGCAGAGTGGGCAGATAACCAATGAGGTGCCCCGACGACCTGGTCGAAATAGCTGGCAGGATCTTGGACTTAATTCTATATCTCCAGACATAGCTAACACTATCCGACAGTAGCGAAGTGACGCTATAAAGGAAATGAAATAAAAAAAATGTAATTTCCGTTATTTCATCTACAACTTTCTTTGTTTTGTCAAAATTGCTTGGTTTTAAAGCAGTGTAGTTCATAAAACTCGCAGTTCGTTCACTAGAACTAGTTTTAGCAAATTCTCTAAGGCTCAGCCTGTGAGCTCGCCTACCCGCCCGGTCGTAGTTGGGATCTCCTCTTAGGCTACCAGTGAATAAGTAGGGTGAAAAATAGGATGTGTTATTTCTGAAATAAATTTAAAACCTCACATTGGAACTCCACAAATAAAAGATACAATTTGTTTCATTAATCACTATACCATCTCTAATGCTGCTTTCAGACTACGCTATACTATAGTGCCATATAGTATAGCAGCCTATACTTAGCCAATAATATATAGTACAGTACAGTGTGAACGTGTCCATAGCAATGTATGGTGCGCGATATTGTTGTGCTATGAGCTATACTATATGCTATTATATTATAGCGTAGTCTGAAAGCAGCTTAAGGTCTCTTGAGAAGCAACACTGTGCGGGTAGATATTACTAATTTAGAAGAAAGGGTATATTCAACATTACAGAAACCGTATTTTGTCATACTGCTATGTGTTTGTGTATGTGTGTGCTTTTGTGCTATTTTAACGTATTTCAATATGTACATCAACCTCTGGTTCTAATGATACAGAGACTCCTAAACTGGGGTTCACTGACCGTGCGTTGTCCGTTCCTTGTCGCATTGTTATTATTAGAGGTCCCGCAGTAGTCGAAATTCGACTATAATTAATTGGAATTGTATGTTTGTATACTATTATGATTGTATTTTATACTTCTATAATCACAAATTTCGCCAAGACTACACTATAACAAATATTAACAAAGACAAACAATATTTAATCTATTCTCAATTTGACAACAGACGTCAAGAGCAAAAGTTTGACAATAAATAGTATGCATGCGTGTGTGCGTCAAATACATGGTATGTAGTGTGTGTAATGTTTTCTTTATTGATTTAATGTATCTTTTATGCATTAATTAAAAAAAAAATAGCATTGTGCACTTCTTCTCTGTATTCTCTTTAAGTGTAGAAAATTTCATACTCCTCCGTCCGCACAATTTTCGTAAAAAGGGATACAAAGTTTTTGCTTCACGTATTAATATATAGATTTTGATAACAACTAAAGATAGCATAAAACTCTTCTTAACTACAGAAAAACAAAATTACGGAAAATCATCATTAAAAGTTTAATGTATTTAAGAAATCAATTCTACGCCGAAGGAATTAAATACTAAATGAAACTACACACCCAACCATAACCGAACTGTTACCGTTAACTAACTTAGTAAACTTTCTCTCGTGTCTGACTAAGTGAATCATCTGCAATGCATTT